TTTTTCATTGTACAAGGCAAGAGTGAAATATCATGGAACGTACCCTGGCGCTGAATCAATTAGAATGACTCTTTTGCTCCTGGGGGAGTACTTCTCGACGCCTTTTTGTATTGTTATGGCGTCCGAGGACGTTAATTTTCCTTTTCTCCAGGTTTCAGGGCGGATGAAATTGATTTTTTAATGGGTGGCGCTGTTGGGAATCTATAAATAGCGACAGGGGTGCCGTTTGGAAAAACCTCTACTGCTTGCACTTCTGGGGCTGATACCAATCAATCGAAAAGTTGATTCGAACGACAAGAAGATAGAAAATATCAACTACTTATTGATACTCGAAATCATCTTCACGATATTTAAATATGATCAAATGATCAAATCAATTGGTACATGTTTCGGACATACAATATGTCCATCCTCAGCATAATCAAGAATTGCTACATATATTGCGTCGTGGAAATGAAAAAGATATTGGTTACATCCTAATATCAATAAATGTTGATAAGAGGAGGTGGTTTCATTTTTGCAAAAGCATAGGGGAACCCAACAAATCCAAGAACTAGAATTATGTACATATACATGTCCGAAACGATATGATCGTTTGATCATATTGAAGAGTGGGGATGAGTCCGAGAATCATTCAGTAGTTATTACTTCACTCCACTTGGAGGAACCGTGGACTTTTACCAAAGATATAGGAAATATTGTTATGTTATTCGTGTACAGGAGCGAACACTATCACTATTTACTGACTGATCCATTACACTTTAAGAAATACTCATTCATAACAAACGTTCAACCACACTATGTAGAACGAACGAACACGCGGTATACAACTGTCTCTTTGACACTCGCTGATTGTCTGCCTGACTGCTGCTGTCTGGTTCTTCCTTATACACATCTATTAATATTGCACAAAACTTTGAGGTTGTATTTTTTGGGTCAAAATGAGAAAGAAAGTTCCTATAAACATTAGGTATGTTCGAGACCTATTCGTTTCCTAGACATAGAGTGCTCAATTTGTTCGAAAAACTTTTGTTGATTTCTGAATTATTGACATTGGTAGGTACGTTAGTTCTTGTTTCGTCAAGGTTACATGATAGATGCGATAAACGGCAATTAGATTTTGATCATTACAGTTTTTCTTTCATCGGGCTCACATACATTGGTTTGTTTCGTTTCTGTTTGTTACACCTGAAATGCGCCAGATACGATGAAAATTAATGAGCAAAAAAATTTGTATTTTGAGTTGATTCCACCAAAAAAAATGAGAAAACTTGAGGAATACTATACTGGGTGTTAGTTTTTGTACAGAACACTACTGGACTTGCCCCGTGGAAACGCCCCTGATGATACTTCATCAAGTGAATCAGGTACAAAAAATACTCCATCGTGATGATAACAGACAATGTGAATTTAATCACTATCGGTACAGTCATATTATTTCAGAAATTGATAAAAATCAAGGATTATTTCAAGGAACTTGAGCACAGTGTATCTCGGAAATATATCGTTTTTGGACATATGTTTATGTGAACATTTTTTCTTATTGGCGACCCAAAAAATGAGACCTTTGAAGTATTGTGCAATATCAATGAAACACCTTGTATTTCATAGATGCTTCGATTTCTTGTGCCCTTATGAAGTTCGAAAACGATCTTAGAACTGTACCTCCTTATCTAATTGTTTCTTCGATTGTTTCTATAGATGCTTCGAGATTGCTTCGATTATTCCACCCATTTCAAAATACACGTTTTTGATTGGATAAAATCTTTTTGTTGGTTATCGAAACTTCAGGTATGTTTTCGATTTTGTATATTAAGGCAGTTGATTGAACACTTGATACTTATTTTGCTGTTTCTAATTTTGTATTCAGATTCCTTATCGGTAGCTCGACTCGGGCATCCAACACACATGGGTGGAAATGGATACTTTCGCTAATGAACTCATAGGTAAATTGCTAACCTCCTTGCCATAAGATAATTCCAGACCAGACAAACCTTGGATTATTTGATAGTTAATAGTGAATTGACTCGCTGTCAGTGATCACGCCCTGAATTCTTTGATGAATGTTCAATAAGTATGCATAACGCAACGAAAGTACGAGATTGAATCATTATTTTATTCATGAAATAATGAGTGTGATAATAACAACAAATACAACCCATTTTATTGATGATTTTCGAGATTTTTTTTCGTCAGACAATTAAATTATGTTGCTTAGGAAAACCACATTCGCTCGTATGGTTTCCAACATTCTAGAGTCGACTTTGAATATTGAATAATGTTAAAAGTGAGCGAACGGGAGTGGACTTCAATTACATAAGTAATGTTTCCAGACCGAAACAATTTGATTCATGCAAACTTGATTCCAAATATTTCTATGAACTGGATGAGGAAACTAAATCATATTCAATAGTTCTTCAAGTCATAAATTCAAAATTTGGGTTGCAGTGGTAGCCAAATGAGACAAATTCAAATATCTGAGTATTTTAGTAGAAACCAATTTGAAAATGTATGAGATATACACTGTTGATGACTTTTGCTGATGTGCTCGTTCCGAAAAATGAGCCAATAAGAATGTCTCCGACATGAAACTGTTACATTGAGAATGAATTGAATTCTGGAATCGAATTCAAACTTTATGCAATCCCCAAACATCCAAAAAATTGTCCAGCTGGATTCCTCTTCTTACCCATCAGCTATATTTTGAGGGGTCAACATTAATAGGGTTGTATTCGAATAAAACCTGTTAAGTGTGGTTTCAGCTACCCCTGAAGGCCTATATCCTCGATATATTGCTTGTAAAATGTGAGCAAATACATTGAATCATTGACGTTTCTCTAGAGAGTTTAAAGAAATATTCTCCTTCCCACTAGCGAATTCCACACATAACTTAATTTTATATCCTCCATTCTTGAATCAGGAGCCAGTGGGGGCCACGACCCCTATTGCCCTTCACTAGCGGCGTACATGTTCTCAAATCGAGAGATAGAAAGCTGAATCATAAATTGGAATTAGTCTATCAGGATTTACTGGGAGAATCCCGGATATCATTTGATGAGCACGTTCGTTTCAGAAGTGGATTAGGCAGGAGTACCAGATACAAGTTTTGTGTAACATGAAACCTCGATACGGGGATATAATAGGTAGTCCAGAGTTTCAGGATAGATTTTATGGCATAGATATCAGCAATTCCACCTAATGGAAAAGCTACGGAAAGCTCGCATTGATTTTTCTATTGCTCGACTCGGAAATTCCGTTTGTTGGCTGCTTCGGGAAATATATAGAATCATTTTTATGTCTTCGATTCTATGAGTATGAACCGAACAATCAATTCAAAATGCCATTTGTGATTACTCAGAAACCAGCTTTGAATTCTGGTTATACGGGGTGTGTCCTAAAACTCATCGTCATCCTTTGGAGGGCTGATAGTCCAAATCATAACTAACCAGAATATCACAATATGAACTTATAGTGAAATATCGATAGTTTTAGTGAGATTGAAATTTTTATGATTTTCGTAACAATCTAAACCTTTGATCAATATTTTGAGTGTAGCAGGTACAAAACTTCATAGTTCAAGATTCCAATTTTTGTTATGCATCCTTCAATAACCCTACTATTGAGAATAATCCAAATTTGGAACATTGCCTGATTCACGAGCTAATTAATTATAATCAGCCTACTCAGACTGGTATTGCATCAATATTTTCATCTTGAATTCATTTTATTTTGATTGTTATCACTAGTAGGGTTATTACAGGTTGCATCACAGAAATCATAATCATAGACTATGAAGTTTTGTACCTGCGGCACTCAAAATACTGATCAAAGGTTTCGATTTTTACGGAATTCTCGAAAGTCCATTATCTCCAGAACTATCAATATTTCACAAAGGTTAGATCGCGTTATTCTGGTTAGTTATGAGCTGTACTGCTGTATCAGCCCTCCAAAGACTGACGTTTGAGACAACCTGTATGATTCAACCATATCACCCGAACAATGAGGGTGGAACTGAATATCATCAATAGTGCACCTATACTAATTCTACCACGATCGACCCCAATATTTTTTATCCTTAATATACGAGCTTGTTTAAGTTACGAAACCGTCAAAAAACGTTTCAAAAACGTCACGAAAACATCATGAAAGCGTCACGCACACTTTTCGCGTTTTTTCCACGGTCTTAAACAAATTGACTCAAGCCTGACATGTAGGTGACGTTTGCTAGCAAAGGTGAAATAGAGGTTTTAGACTGACTCAGTATGAGTGCACTACTATTATTTTCAGCAAATGTCCAAAGAAATTATCATTATCATGGCTAAAGTCTCGCAAAACATTGGGAAACATCTTTCCGAAGTCTATGTATAGAATTGGATTTTGGAATTAGGTGGCAAGCTCTCTGAAGCACTCGATTCTATCAGAGTGCTCAGGTGGATTCATTGTGTTACCGCTGTTGTTTCGTCCCACACCTTCAACAGACTGGTCATGAGGGGCGCCGCGATTTCTTCCCATTTATGAGGTTCCTCTGTGTTTCCTTTCTCGGCTTCAGACCCCCAGAGGAGCCCCCCGGCCAGGGTCTCCGCTTCCACGGACTCGTCGTCTGAGCCAAGAGTTCTGTTTCAGAGCCTCCATCCACTCTAACGCTAGAGTTCTCACTTGCCAGCACCAGAGCCCACTTTGCTCCAGCTCTAGGGTCCCTACAGCCTCCTAGCCTAAACTCTTATATGTAATGAAGATGAGCCTCAACTCATGTGTCCGTGGTCATTCCCTGAACAGCTTCATTCATTCGCAGAAGATCGGTTTCCTGCTCAGGGGGATGTTGTTAGCTTGCTGAGGCTCCAAATATGCGGAGCTTGGGCATATTCTTCCATGGCGAGCCAATGCGGAATATTTGCAGAGGATGTGCAGTTTCTTCATGCTTATTGCATAGTCGACATATTGGGTCCTCAATCAAACCGATAAGGGCCAGGTGTCTCCTGAGTCCTGGTTGAAACTCTTACCAGCATGGAGCATTTCCTCCTGTTTAGTTGTAGGGGGTTGTATGATTGGCGTTTGCATGACTTCACGAAGACTCTGGAATTATTGGCATAGCAGCTCATCCAGAGCCTTTAGGACGATGCATGGGGATACCTACTAAGGGTTCAGGCCCAAAAGCGGGATTTGAGGCTCCCTGCCTTGCTGAGGCATTGGTTACTATTTGTTCGAACTATAGACTAATTAGGGTGAACTCAAGTCTCACCAGTAGGGGTAACCAGAGCGTGAGGTTAATGCCGAAGTCAAAAATTCCAAAACTTTTGCCAGATAGCCCTGAAGACTGTGTCTTAGTCTATCGTGAATATTGGGGAAATATGGAGTGGCCTTCTTGAACTAGAAGACAAACTCATGTTATGGTGAGACCTCAACAGAATTGCGTTTTTCACTCTCGAAGTGGAACTTCACGACCAACACTCACATTGACGAAGAAGAAGATATTGTAGGAAAAGGTCGAACGACACGAAAAGCAGAAGTATATCCATCAGTTTTACCAACTCTGACCTCACGTCTCAGTAGCGTAGTGACTGCTGAACAATAAAATAGTGCTAGTACTCATGTAAATTGATACTTATTGTGAATGTTTCTCTCTTGAACGGCAAACTTTGTTTGAATTGGAGTCAGGTATAGCACTGAATCACCTGCATACCGGTTTAGAACTCTTGGCCTTCATCAGTGCAGGATAGTTTATTTTATACAGCCGTTCAAATACCTGAGTTCAAAGGGCAACCTGATCTAGCGAAAAATGTTTCAATCCTAGATACGATAAAATGGTACGATATCATAATGATGATTTTGAACACCAACAATGCCGTACATTTTCACTGAATTGAAAGAACATATAGATAGGGAGGCCAGCCATAAGATGGAAGCTTGGCGAGGAGTCCGTGGTGCCAGACTCGATCGAATGCCTTGGAGATATCAAGTGCCACAGCTAAGGTTTCACCATATTCTTCACAAACTTCTATTCTATATGGATCAGGATTGCTGGTTAGAAAAAGATCTAGTGTATTGGCAGACTGGTTGTTGACATCTGGAATGCGGGTTGGTAGTTCGACTAGTTGTTCTAGACCATGAGTGATGGCGAAGGTTTCGTTAGAGAATTTGAGCCAGGCTGCGTTGTGTACTTTGAAGTCTCTCATGATAATGATTTCAGCTGTTGGATGGTCCTTCTGAATGTAGTCCAGTTTGAGTGATAAAAACTCGAAGAGGTTGTTATAATAGCAAAAATACACGAAAATACATAATTCACGAAATACAAACAACGTAAAAATGGCTGACAGATGATTGATGATGAGATTACAGAGAAGTCGGCTCTGATAAAATCTACAAGAGCAGAGACATACGTTTTAATAAATCTACAAAACAGAAATCAGATACATACACTGTCTTATCTTCTGTAGTCTATGGCACTGTTGACGTTGGAAAATGTTGATTCATATTGCGCATGTGAGCCAATTTTAATGTTCACTTCTTGTTGGCCGTAATAGTATATTAGGTGTTATGAACGTCCTGTGAGTAACGAGTATTTCCAGGAACAGGTGTCTAGGAGAATTGATAAAAGCTTTACCTACAAACTTTTTCTACGCACTCTTCAGTCGTGTCTTCGATAAACTCACATAGATCCGAAAATTAGCCTAACCTACCTGCTGACCCACCAAATAATTCGATGGGAATGATAAAGAACATGATACATAATATACTATACAACTGTATGCAACCAAGGAGACATATAAGTGATATTGGTTGAAGAGGTGCCTAGTTCACTGGGTACATGACTTTCTATTGGAATGGCTTACTCACTCACTTTGAGGAATGAGAAGTTTTAATCTGTCGTTGAAGATACAAACTCTTCGATTTGCTGAGGTGTCAAAGTTTTCGATTTCTCAGGTTTGTATCCATATTATGATACGCGTCTCAAGAATGCAGACAAATTCGCGTATTTGCTCATATTTATATTGTGGTTTACGTTTATTGTCATCCTTGTCATAGAATGAATAGCCCACAAAGATAAGAGCTAAGAGCACAAGTCTCTCGAAGACTTCTGAGGGTTGCTCGTAAGGGGGCAACCGAATAACGGATGAGACAATATGTTGAACAATTTGAAAAAGATTCTCTCCGAATTCACTTTCACGATCGTCTGCATACATTTTCGATGAGAAATCCTGGTACAAACGGAAATTGAATAACTCTGATTCCCTCCGATTCCGAAAATTTCGAAAATGGCAGTTGACAGTTCCTTCAATTATAACAGACAGGACAGGACTCAGATCCAGGCAGCACCAAATATTCTATGAATATTATAACAACGTTCCAATATACTTATTTTAGAATATTCTCATAGTATGTTCTCAGAATGATCATAGAATATTCTCATTTTGCGAACAATATTTTATAAACATTCTATTTGACATATTCTCAGGATATCCTTTTCGAATATATTCTCAGCATATGCTCTTTCGATATTCTGAGAATATCCTTTTCGAACATTCTGAGGATATTGAGAATCGTACCGAAATATATGATAATTACGTTCCTATTCTTTTATCAATATTCATAATGTTTACCTTGACACAACCTATCATTCTCTAGCCGCAAGGCTGATTATCTAACTTATACATTGTTGTCATCTTGCTATTCATTTTAATCATCGATGAGGTTCGTGGCGATCTGGTAAGGTTTCAGATTCGTGAAAATTCAATCACAAGATAGTAGGTTCGCATTTCCACGAGAGCAAGCTCTCTTTCAATATTCTTCCTTCTCGTTCAATATACTAGGAATATTCTCAGAATATTCGAAACAGTCCATTCCGAATGTTCATAAAACGTCCCTAGAATATCTGCATCATATTGTGAGAATATTCTGAGTTTATTCAAATATTCTCTGAGAATGTATCCTATGGACGTTCTATGAATATTATTGTACTATCTGGGAAATGACTGGAATTGTGTTGAAATAACTTTTTTTTATCCGTACGTTAAATGCCACTTTAGTTATCTCAGTAGAAAACAGTTCTTCGCGCATCTCCAAGAATTGCCCTCCCATTTCTTGCTTATGGGTCAGTGGTCATTGTCAGTGGGGTCTATAGGTGTTCACAAATCTTCTGTTTTCTTAGTATTACGAAATAATTTTTCTGTGAAATTATGTATCAGACAAGCCGAATCCGTTAATCTTATCGCACCCCGGAGCGTTCATAACCACCAACACTTCTGCATTCCATATTGCGTGTGCGATTGTCGAAATCAACCATTTAGCATTTAATAACGGACACGAGCTTAGCTACTTAATCATGTCAACAATGCGCGAAAGATAAGAATATGGCCTTTCGTGCTCCTGTCATAAATATAATCGCAACAGAGCCCCTGCAACGGAAAAACCCGATAAAGCCGACATGATAATAATGCAAACGAAATTTATACAAAACCTGACCGACCCATCGAGAACTTTCTACCTGAGCTTTCCCCGTTGTGTTAAAAAGGAACAATAGATATTCATACAGTGAAGAATGCCATATATATTACCAAGATTTTACATTGTTTGCACAATCGTTACACACAGGGCATGTCAATGGCAACATAGCAAGAGATAATTATTTGGTCAGATGCAAAGAACGTGTCCCGGCTAGATGGGAGATGGGGTAAGTTTTCTTATTGCGAAAGTGACTAGAGGATGGATGTACACGGATGGCTCGGCAGTTCAAGTGCAGGGGTATACAATGAAGGAACAGGAAAAGAAATTTCAGTTCCTCTGGGCGAATATGCCTCAGTGTTCCAGGCAGAAGTACTTGCAATACTCACCTGTGTCCAAGAAAACCTAATTATGAGAGGTCGTAGACCAATCACTAAATGCTCGGACAGCAAAGCTGCAATACTGGCTTTGCAATCCAATAGTATCACATCCAATTTGGTGTTTGAGTGCAGAAAAGCCTTGGAAAACCTGGCAAAATCAAGTAAAGTCAGCCTCATATGGGTCCCGGGACATTCGGGAATACCCGGAAACGAGGAGGCAGACAGACTGGCAAAGATCGGTTCAGGACGGACGTCGGTCAGACTGGAACCAATCTTGGGAATATCGAATAGCCTGGCAATGTCCTCTATAGAGGAACAGCTGCAAAAGCAATTCCTCAAAATATGGCAGGACACACCAGGAATGAGACAATCGGAGCTCCACATAAAGGAACCTTCGGAGACGCTCGCAAAAGAGTTTTTATTCCTGAACAGGTGAAACCTTAAAATGGTAGTGGGGCTCCTAACGGGGCACAACCACCTCAATAGGCACCTAGAGCTTATTGGGATCAAGGATGACCCCCTTTGCAGATGGTGCCTGGAAGATGACGGAACGTCATCACATGTCCTCACTGAGTGTCCAGCACTGACGCATCAGAGGAGGGCTGTCCTTGGCAACATAATTTTGAGGCCAGAGGACGTAAAAGAGATTAAGCTGAGGAAGCTGCTGAACTTCTCCAAGGCAGTCGGCATACCCAGCTAAGTTAAGTTTGGAAACCCTGTATAGAATCCCATTTCAGTTTCATGCTATACCTAATTACACTCTTTGTATATTCGTTAAATCTGACTTGCCTAATTAGGCATGCACACGGAAATTAAATTTCATTTACTTTCTCCATACTTTCATCTCATTTATTCAAATTGAAATAACAGATGATTATTATTTGCCGCCTTATATTCAGACTCTACCAATTCTACTTTGTTCGAGAACAAAATGCTAATAGTTCGGGACTTCCTCGCATTGAGAGAGAAAAAAAAAACAATGGAAGTTTGAAAGGAAGTTGCCGTTTCGTGGGAGAAGTTGTAGGTACTGAAACATTTAAATGCAAAACAAGCCGATTCCTTGTTTTTACACATCTTTTATTAAAACTTCTACTGCCTACGTATCCCAAGAGAGCATTTTGCGGCTTTAAAAACAAATAATACAAGAGAACAAGTAGGTATCAGAACAATGGTAATGAATCTTTGGATACCTTAAGAAGTGTAGCTCACTGAGGTCATATGAGCGTAACATCATTACCAAAAAATGGATTATTTTCTATTTACCAATGTATTCCTACGAA